CCCCCCTCCCCCCGCCCTCCCCCTAGCCCGCCGTTCCTATCATCTGCGCGTTCGCGATGCACGCGAATCCGCGCGCCTACGCGACTCTTCTTACAATTCGTGCCGTTCCCAATATAGGACATTTGCAATTTTATGCAATTTTATGCAAGCCGTACGTCCCTCGTTTTCCTCTTCGATTCCTCTTCTTAATAAAAATATTACATCACGTCCTTTTCTACAGCGAATAATTTTCTGAATCATGCAAATCTAAATTTTTGCTATAAGTTTACTCTTGAGAAACGTTATGGAAAAATAACGTCACGTGATTCTCAATTATGTATTATATAAAAATAATATGTTTTCACAAGGACATTATTGCTAAACAAATTTTTAATACTGTTATTCGCTGTAGTACCCGATAAAATCAATAATCAATAGCGACAGCTATTGAAGATTAAACTTTTATCTAAAGATAGATAAAATGACATTGTTCACTTCGAAACTTTCACTAAATACTCTCGTCGATGCGGTAGAAACCGCTGAACTTTCACATCGACCTAATGCATATATAAATAATGCACCTTGCGTTATGTTTTAGTCATAAGGTAAATAAAGAAATATGCATGATTAACCATGTTATCCCATTCGTAAAACTTGTAACTATACTTTGTCACGATAACGAACCTAAAAAGATGAATTACATATAATACTATAAATTTCGACATTTGCCAACGTTGTAAGATAATATTTTCTTTTAAGATGACATTTGCAACGTTGTGAGATAAACTTCACGAATCCACTCTCATATTTTTCCCTGAATGTCATAGAAATAATTGTAATAAGTAGATTGGCAAATTTTCAATATTGTCACGTAAGAAATCTAATAATTAAAATTTTCTCTCGATGTCAATGACATCGCTGTGAAGCCTCAATTATGCATCGGTCTTTAAAATCGACTTTAAGAGACGCCCATACATGTATATACTTTTGCACCTGACAAAATTAAGGATGTAGTCATCTCTCTATTTCAACGATAGTATAATAGCTGCGCCTGATAAGAGAAATGATGGCGGATGACGTACCTCACTATGACGTGGATTCTCTGACGCGGTCAACTGATCGGACATGTCGCAAAATGCAGATAAGTACAAATCAACTATAGTCGGACATGTCGCAATAAAATGCCAGATACCAGATCGTATCATTCGAAGAACAATGTAGCAACAGCGTTTCTTGACAAAGATAGTGTACAGTATTTTTATAAAACGCCGCATAACAGTTTCGTACGAAAATTTATTCGATTAGAACATAACTGGATTTGCCAATTTTTATGCTAATAAGGGCAATTCGTGCAAGTTTACACAATATTTTTATATCATTTGTTTCGATTCTCAAAAAATGATTTAATAAATCAACAATGTAATTGCATTTTCGACTGATGACATTATTTATTTTATTTGGAGATACTCCAAATTCTAAAGGAATCCGCTTCACTTCAGCATGACAGTGTCTTTTCTAGCTTCATAATTAGAAATTAACCAGAAATAAAATAGAATTAAAATAAGCTTTTCAATTTTAAATTTTCGTTAAATATAATTTCGCAAGGAGACACCTATAAACTTGCTGGCGCCTCTTGCGTCAACGATCGATCCCCCGTTCGATCTTACCGATGCCGATCTCACGCCCTAGCGGGTTCCAATATACCGCCGAAGAATCGAAGAAAGCTGGATGAGACGCGCGCGTCCGGCCGCCGCTTCCTCTACGCTGCGCTGATTGAAATGCGACAGCGCGTAGATGGGGGCTGATGACGAGGATGATGACGATGCTCTCTCACTTGGGTGGACCACCTCGGTGCAGGCCAAGCCTTCGGGTTTCGCCGCCTTTGCCTTCCTTCGCGAACCAGCACGTACACAAGAGCGCCCAAGGCGTCACTGTATAAGCCCCCGATCAGCGGCTCGCTCGCAATCACGCACGTATATGTACGTACGTTCACGCAGCGAGAGACACAAACGCACTCACGCACGCACCCACGCACGCACACATACGCTCACTTAACGCGGCACTCGGAAGTTCGGTAGAAGCCACGAACACTCTTCAGCGAATCAATCGAATCACTGCACCGCCCAGCATCCGGTCACCTCCGTTCTGCCATGTACGACATGCATAATACGTGTTGTGTGTGTGTGTGTATGTGTGTGTGTGTGTGTATTACGCGCGTTTCGCGACGAAATAACGCGGCTTCACAACGCTCGTCTTGGACGCTCGTCTTGGACCGCCACCGCGAGTCGTCATCCCCCGCGCGCACCACGTACCGAGGGAGAAGCCAGAAAACGTTACCCCGAAATATAGGACAAATCGTGGGCACCCTTCTGCTCCTTCGAGGAAATGCTCTAGAACGTCGTTCGTTGAGGCTTGCACCCCTTCGACTCTTTTATCACCAATTTTTATATCTTCCCTCTCGCGTTCTCCGTTTTCTTCCGTAGCAGTTGCCTCTTCTTCGGGTCACGGGTTGGTTCCCTGTTTTCTTCCTCTCTAACTATTGCTCCTTTCTCTATCTCGCTCTTCCCCTCCCCCTCGACTTGTCCCTCGTGTTTTTTTCTCACCCTATATCCTCCTCTTTTTCGCTCCGTGTGTCTCACACACCCTGACGAGGAGTGCACGGCTACCTAGTGCCAGAAGGAGCAAGTAGCCTCCATCGCGGACTGAAACTGAGGCTATACCATGTAGATACAAGGGGTCCGGTGCGTTATACCGTCCTCGTATCTATCATTTCGAGGCTCCTCTCGGGGTTCCCCCGCCCCCCTCCCCCTCTCGCCGACCCGCGGATCGGGGATCGCTCGATCTTCCTCGATCGATCGTACGGACCTCTCGAGCCCTCTCGCTCCCGCGCGCGCGACCGATTCCCCCTTCCCGACCTCTTCCACTTCCCAACAACGATCCTCGGAGACCGCTCTTCCCCCTTGGCTACTCCCGCCCGTCCTAACCGAGGTGGCCCTCTCGGTAACGTGACACACAGGCGGCTATCTCGACTATTAATATATAAAATGGGGTTCCTCGACACTCGCCGCCCGGTAATTGTACCCGCGCGGCCAGCACAGCGCGGTGCTCTCTCGCCGATTTAGATTTCCACCGGCCTAAACCCTTTCTCGCGGTCTCTTTCTCTCCTCCCTTCCTCCCCCCGCTCTCTCTCTTTCTCTCTGTCTCTCTCTCTCTTTCTCTTTATCTTTCTTACTGATTTCTGGATTGTCTAATCCTGCACAAAAACAAGATAGAATCCGTTTAAAGCTATAATTTCATGAATAAATCTACACGGAGAGAATTTTTTTTTACCCTGCAAATCATGTTAATTGTGGGATAATATATTATTTAGGCAAATTTTACTGTATTTAATACTGTAAAATTTATTATAGTGCACAGTAAAATTTGCTTAAATACTGTATTGTCCCACAATTAACATGATTTGCAGGGTAAAAAAAAATTCCGTGTAGATTTATTCATGAAATTATAGCTTTAAACGGATTCTGTCTCGTTTTTGTGCAGGATTAGACAATCCAGAAATCAGTAAGAAAGATAAAGAAAAAAAGAGAGAGAAAAACAAATACTCTCCGTGTAGTAATGCACAATTTTTATAAAACGAAAGAGAAGAGTATGAGAAAAGATCGAAATATCTTAAAGGAATAATTTATTATTTACTTGAATAAACTAGTAGTAATTCGCAAATAAATTTTACGATATATATATATATATATATATATATATATATATCTTTTTTGGAACGATAAGCCAATTATTTCACTTTTTTCCTTATCGTTTATTTATACAAAAGAAAGATTTTTCAATTCCTATAGATACTGCATTTTCTGTCCGACGCTTATCAAAGATTATGTCACGAGAGCGCGAGGGTTCAATCACGGTTGAACGAGATCGGAAGGAACACCTTGTCGTTCCATTTGAATAAGAGCACTCGGTATCGGGGTAAGATAGTCGTCCAAGTATCACATCCGCATGGTCAAATCAGGGCTATAGCGGATGCTATTGAGGCAGGTCCGCGGAGCACAGGATATTATCACACTAAATCTCGCATTTGTACGTTTAGCACACGTCATCGAAGTGGGAAGAAGCAATACGGAACGTAATACTGTCATGTGTACAACATATAGAATATTTTCATTAACGATAAGTAATGATAACATCGATATATACACATCTTTTAATTAATTTTTATTATAGGCAGTATTGATTTATAAGTATGTCGATTTATAGACAAATTAATTAACTTCCTCTTTACCTAATACTGTAATCCTTTATAAGATTCGCAGCTATATAGTAATAAGTAACGACTAAAATATTGGAGACATTGTGTGAGATTGTTTGTCATCAATTAGATTAGATAAAATCTATTTAGATTTGTCTTTTTTAATTCAAATTAAATCTTATTTCCAGCATATCAAGTTTTGCGATATTAGAAATTAAAAACTTATTATAGCAAAATATTTATGCAAAAATAATTAAACTATAAAAATGTGCATATTGTCAATTTTTTTTATAAATAAAAAAATAAATACATTCAAATACATTTTAAATGTATAGCGGCGTAGTTATTTCACTATTGTTAAAAAATAAATGTTTATTAATATAAAACTTAAACATATTATAGGCGCTATCTATCTCAAATGACTTTTATTCATAAAATTGTTTAACTTTCGAAAATCAAGTCCTTAAAAATTGTAAATTTCATTTTACTATTTCTTTATATAATAAAACACCGGTGTAGAAAGGTACCCATAATTTTACGATTTTAGGCGTGAGATACGCACAAAAATTTAAATAAAATTATAATATTTTTCAATTTCACCACGGAAAAAAATCGGAAGATCATGAACGTGTTACCCGCCGGAAATATCCGTGGGTATATAGTTCAAGGCGCGCGTTTTGTGATACATAGGGGCGCCAGTAAACGGTTCAAGATGCAGGCTGGTTGTCATGGTAACCAAGTGACATGGCGGCGTCCACCGTACACATGACTCCACATGGGTCCGTTACCGCGCCGGCGAGTTGTATAAATAATCGGATTTACTCGCGATGTCGAATTACGACGAACCGGGCCGCACTCGCGGACGTGCATTACTGTGCAGTGTCAAGCCGAGGCACGTGAGGTCCCTGAATTTCGGGCAATCGATCCTCGAGCTCGATGCCGTGGAGCAGCGGTGCTCCGTACCGAACGGCGTCCTCGTGATCGACCAGAATGTCACTCGCATACCGTGCACCGAGAAAGGGGATTTCGTGCGCAAGTGGCTCGAGACGCACGAGAACGGCGGGTACAATCCGCCCCCGCGGTTGTCCCCCGTTCCGGGAACGTCGGCGACCGCGGCCTGCCAGATCTCGCCGGTACTCAGCAGCAGTAGGAAACGACCCAGGGGAAAGATCCGTGCAGGCGGAAACGCCGCAGCGAGAAGGCCGGGCGATGCGGGTCACCAGCGAAGCGCGGGGAATTCCGCAACGCAATGTAAATCACATTACGGATGTAAGGAGGAGAGCGAGAAGTGGGGATCTGTGATCGAGACGACACAACACACGCCACCTGGTACGGACAGGGTGGCTGTCGACGAGAGTGACGAGACGTCTCCCGTTCTTGGTACGCATCGCGCCTTATGCAGGAAAAAGGCAAGAAAACTGCGGCATGAAGCAAAGGATAGTATCTCTCCAGAATGCTTCAAGTTACCGAGCCACAAAATCACAAGTGGAAACGCAGAGTCAATAGCGGAACCTGACGGCGGCCGTAATGATCTGAGAGAGATTCCTGCGAACCGAGATAAATTGGGAGAAAATTTGGATGTCAAATCTAGAACGAGACTTACCCTCTCGATCGAGGCAAGGGAGAGCCCAGAGAGATATCAGAGCTATATAGACTTTTCGCCATCGACGCACGAGAAATTGAGTTTTGCCGACAGCTCGAGCGACAGCGCTGGCAAAAACGACTCGAGGATAGAAATAGGTACGAGCGATGACAGCAAGGACGAGGAGGAGTGCGTCAGACTTGTAATAGGTGCAAGCACACAGGGCAGCGACAACAATCTGAGCAACCTCATAGAGGAGACGGAGGATACGCAGGAAATTGCAAGAACATCCGCACAGTCTTTGACACCAGCAGATAAATATTTGATCCCTTCGGGACAACCGTGTACGTCCTCGCGATTGGCCATTGACGATTTGGACGAAACTTACTGCCCGGAAGCGGAAATGCTGCAGGATGTGCAGAGCACACGTCTGTCCGCAAGAATCTCCGGGGTGCAGTCGTTGAATAAAACCACGCAGAGAACGGGTAGCAAGTCGACGCAAACTGACGTTCACATCAGCACGATAACGACACCGTCGAGGAAGTCTCCGGACAAGGGTGTACAGGCGCATCTTTTGGACTCTGGGAAGAAACGGCGCAAGCCTAAGAAGTGGGTATAGTTCTCGTTGAACGCTTTGACTATATAAGTATGGACTGATAGTAATTAACTTCACACGTGTCGCCAAGCTGGAAGATGTAGACTCCACCTCAGTCAGTAATTTTCTGCGGGGAGGGCGAAGGCTCCTGTGAAATCAGCGTGTTTACGACGTGTAAAGAAAAGGTGCTGAGTTTGTTTTTAATTTCATTCCGTCGATTTGAGATTTTTTTTGGCTCCCTATCAATTTTCAACATAACATTTAATACATTTTGACAGATATTTGATATTTTTTTTACTGACTGGGGTGGAGCCTAAAAATCGAAGTTCGATACCTCAACCAACTTCAGCTCGGCGACACTGGGCATATGTTTTTTACATAATATATAAATTCGGGGGGACTAGCAATCCATATATATATAGTCAAAGGTTGAACGTAGGTGGATCTCTACACGGATTTCTGACGTTTGTACTTTCGTGTTTTTCCAGGGGAGGCATGGCCGCGAGACTGCATTCCTTGATCAACGCGCAAGTGTCCGACATTCGTATATGGCGTTACCGAATGAAGAGGCAGGACGCCGCGTCAGCGGGGTACATCAGCGTACTTGTGCGCGAGACCACGAGGCAATTCGGCAACCAGTTTCTGAGAGGCGTCCTAATCGAGGATCGCTTCAATCTCCTGCGGGGCGACGTGCAAGTCGAACAGGCGGAAACGCGTGATATTCAGGCCCAGCTGAAGGGGATCCTACACTGCAGGGATATAACAATTATGCTAGTCTGTGATATAGTCGGTACATTGAGAATGATATCGAGAGTTGTGATAAACGTTTATCCGCCTTGGGATATCTTGGATAGGGACGATCTTACCCTGGAGGCGATGTACATAAGTATAAATGATAACTGCGAAATACCGGATATCGAGAACCTCGGGAGATCGCGCGAGCGTAAGAAGCGAATTCTCAAAGAGTTCAATTGTCCCTGTATAGAAGAACAGAGGGAATTGCCGTTCTGCGCGAGAAAGCCTACCGGCGATAAGCCCGACGTGATGCAACAGATATTTAATTTCTAATTTAATTTCCGCCCTATTGTACATTCAAGATGTGATATAGGTATGTTGCAGAGTTTTCTAGTATTCTCTCGCAGATTGCACTTTTGACGACAAAAGCGTTTTCCTTTTCTATTCCGTCTCTTCAATTCGAGGCGCTGCCGACTAAAATTTTAATTAGCTGTATGTAATTGTGATAATTTCGTTGTAGAATCGGTACAGTGATGTAGAAAAAAAGTAGAATTGTGCAATCTGTATAATTACATATATGATCAATCAATTTTGAATCAAGTGTACATCGTGCGATATTTTTTTAGTCACACCTAGACGACAGATTGATAAAAGAAATTGTTTAATATTATATAATATCGCTGTTTATATTTAATAAATTAAATATATTTTTTTAATAAACACAGTTGTTATTTAATTGTTTTAAGGTATCCGCGTAGTCGCGAAAGACTGCAGAGTATTTGTAAAAAAAATGGAATTATGTATTTGGAATAAATGTAAAAATAGAAAAATAGAAAAATGTAATAATTGTGAAAATTGTAAATTAATTTTTAATAGATAAAATCGATCGTCGCCGTCTCGCGCAGTCTTGTTGATATCACGGACTCACTGCAGATGGCTCTGTATTCCATACGATTCGTCAGCGTTCTGCTGCGATGCAGTGATAAACTCGGATAAACTGTCACAGGTTGTTTGGCTGTCTCTTGCCTTTGTTTTATTGTTCTTGACGTCCTAATAACAATCCACGGTAATCGTTTTTGCAGACAGACGTGAAATTAACGATATTCGCAGCATAAAGGTACATAAAAATCTGCGTTCTTCAAAAATGTTTTTACATTACTGTGTCGAGTTAGAATATCGGTTGTTGCAATCTAATTTGATGGAGCTCGAGATTAGTACACAAGGTCTTTTTGATGAACATGACACTTGCTTTGCCAAAGTAGGCAGCTGAAATCTCTAATGAGGTCTATGAACAACGGGCGCGATTGCTTTATTTCTTACTGCGTGCACCTAACCTCAAATCTTTAAAATTGTCATTTAAATATCGGTCTTCCCTTACAGTTTTGGAACGATGTCGATTACACAAGATCGTCCCGAGTTGTATGAAGAAGTTAAGCTCTATAAAAACGCCCGGGAGAGGGAGAAGCACGACAATCAGGCGGATCTGTATGCCGTAGTAAATACGTTGCAACATTTGGAAAAGGCTTACATCAGGGACTGCGTTACGCCTAAGGAATACACGGCGGCGTGCAGCAAACTGTTGGTGCAATACAGAGCAGCGTTTAAGCAGGTGAGTTTTCAGAACTTTCAAGCAAGAACGCATCTCTTTCTCTCTACACGATACTTTATAGAAATATATTTAACACTGGAACTGCGGCGATAGACCTTTCCTAGAATTCGAATGGATTATTTACGACCCATATTTTTTTGGTTTTTTGATAGACAAAGTGGTGACTAAATACTACAGTTTTATTAATGCTATATTAAGAATTCAGTTTATACACAGCTACAGTTAATTACAGTGGAAAATAAAGATTATTAAAAGAGTAAAAAATGGGACAGCCACAGTTCTAGTATTAAGCCCCTATGTTATAATTCTCTTAAGATAGTGTTGATCATTGTTGTTGCATATCTTTTCTATCAAATATAATATCTGCGCAGTGACAATATGACTGACACCATTAAGAGTTACAGAACAGAGACTTTAATAAAGAATATGAACTCTAACCATTTCCATATCTTGTAGGTACAGAGCGATCAGTTTCCAACAATCGACTCCTTTACCAGAGCATTCCGCTTGGATTGTCCCGCTGCTCTCGAGAGAATCAAGGAAGACAGGCCGATCACGATAAAAGACGACAAGGGCAACACTTCTAAGTGCATCGCCGACATCGTTTCGCTGTTTATCACGCTCATGGATAAATTACGACTGGAAATCAAAGCCATGGATCAACTGCACCCGGATCTGAGAGATCTCATGGACACCATGAATCGTCTCAGTATACTACCAAGTGACTTCGACGGTAAAGAGAAGGTCTCAGAGTGGTTGCAGACTCTCGACAATATGTCCGCCTCGGACGAGTTATCGGACACGCAAGTCAGACAATTGATATTTGATTTAGAGACATCCTACAATGCTTTTAATAAGATACTCCATAATTCGTAATTCTCTTTATTTCCGGTCGAGTCGAGTTAATCTAATATTATTTATAATACAAATACCTCGACGTATCGATTATAATGCTGTTTAAACGAAATTTTATTAATAATTTATAAAATAAAAAATAATTATTTGTACATATTGTTACTATTAATTAATGTTGTCGCAAAATATCGATTTAAAAAATGCGTCGAGGTTTTTTCTATTATAGATAATATTAATTTATTCTCAGCTGCGACATTTATAGTATTTGCAATTATACTTTTTTTTTATAAGCAACAATTTGCCACTTGAATTTGCCACTTTACATCGTTCCTTGAATCACGTGTAAAACTCGCAGTATATAAGATCCTTGCATACACTTTAGTGCTAAATGAAACTATTATATTGGATATATGTGTATGTATATATACAAATATATATATATATATATAGCTGCGCAGAACAAACTATTTTATATGCGATTCTTTGTAATCAAGGTGAATTGCTGAGCGACGCTTGTATATTATCGCGTTATGTAATATTGTCGATTAAGCCAATAAAAATGCGTATACACAGTTTTAATAAGCTGTAGGTGTCTGATACGTATTTGCGAGCACGTCCTGTACCAAAGAGGCGACTGTCTATTAAATTCTCTCTATTTAATCGAGAATGTTAATTGTCCTTTTGTGTCAAGAGATTCTCGCGAAACTTTCCAACGCGCGGCCGCGCGACAACGGGCGCGCGCTTTATCACCGCGCGCCAAGGTGCGCGCTCCCGCCCGCCCGCCTCTCGTAAGCGGCGCGTTTAACGCGCAACAATGACGCCGCGCCGCGCGCGCGCGCGTGCGTTCAAAGCCGATATTTCGTCCGGGTTTCTGTTTGCGGGCGGGATGGTAACGCGCGGGTTAATTCGCGCCGCGTCCCTTTGATGTGCCAAGAGCAGACTTTTCCCCGAGTCGAGTATTTACGCGCGGGGCGCGCCCCGGTATGCAAATGAAGAGGGTGGTCCTTCGGCGCGCGCTGTCACGTCGGGGTACAATAACGGCTGAACTATTGACTAAACTAAACTAAACTAAATTAAACTGAGCTAAACTAACAGCCAGGTTGTATCTGCCAGTCGTGCCAGTTCGCCGCATTCGATGTCCGTGTGCATGGTGCACACCCTTCGTCTCCCTCCCTCCCTTTCCCCTCGCCCGTCGCCGTCGTCGTCGTCGCCCACCGTACTCGCGCGCTGGCAAGAGGAAAATTTACATGCAATAGGAATGCCATTATTCGCAAGTCAAAAGCGAGAGAGTTTCGACATTCGAAGAAACGCGTCTTAAAATTAGTTTCGCCGCTGCGCTGTCATCCGAGAAGTGGAGTGCGTACGAAAGGAGCAAGGCTGGTACATTTTATTAAAATTATTTTTCGTCGGCAAAAACGCGTGCAAACAACAACGTCTAACGTGCAAACAAACGGAAGGGGAAATATCACGTTGTTTCACAATTAAAATTCAGTTAAACCCTTCTTTTTTTTTTATCTTAGAGCTTACTCATTACGAAATCACGAAGACGAAGTTTGGAATTGCCCTGTGAACGCACGCCTGTGTGTTTTATCTTCTCTAAGCTGGCTCGAGAACTCCGCCAATATAGAGATTCCGAGAGCTCGGAAAATAAATCGAACCGTATCTCTAAATATGTCACTTTAGATCCACTCTAAATCCGTTTTCGGTTTCCCGGGCCCGGTTGCGTCTTATCAATGCCAGGAACTGCGCGAGATCTCGGGTCATCTTCCGGGGGAGGCACGTGCTGAAGACGATGAGATTTTCATCCAACTTTCAAATAAGGATGATCCTCTCAAGGCAATCCTGGAGCTATTTCAGCAAGCTCGAACATTGCCAAGCCACTTTTACGCGCGGGGAATATAGCCTTCGTACACATCTCTCGACGATGATATATATATATATATATATATACATGCATACGGCAAAATACACGGGCGCATACTCGCGCGCCGGCTTATCCGTCAATCTGTTCGTTTACCTGACGGTGTTATTTCAATATAAATCACTCCGGTCCCGCTAGAGCGAATATGCTTGCCTTTGACAGGGTGATTTTACCCTCTTTCACTTTTGCCTTCGTATAAAAATTCAGATTTCGCGGAGCGATTCGGCAGCCGCGGAAAAATCAAAGACTTTGATGTATGTACGGGGTAGCCTAGCTCCTTCGGCGCGCTGCAACGCGCGCGCACGTTTAGATCCGCACGCATATAGCCGCGAGAATGGATTTATCACCACGTCGTCGTCCGTTATATTGCGGCTGCGCCGCGAAAAAAAATCCCTCCGTACGCGCGCGCGATTATCGCGCTCGCGAGTATGACGAGGCCGTTTGTATCGCCGCCGAGTTTCCCCGGCGAGAGATATCGCGATCATTTTGCATTTATATTAAAATCGTTTTTACGCCGCGTGATGGCAGTTAAGTAACTATGTTGTATAGAATTATCACACAAGTTAACATCCCATTCGTTATCGCGAGATGTAATCGCGCATTTATGCATTACATCTCGTGTCCCGTTAGATCGAAACGCTGAAAGAGTACAAAGTAGACCGAGTCATGCTACTTTCGAGTGAAATAAATTTAAAGTTGTTGTACTGTAACAAAAAAAAATAAGTGTGATTATTATTTGGTAACGGAAAATTTTTCCATATACGTGATCTGTTTGAATTATGGAAAGTAAGACGGCTAAGAAACTTTACTTGGTTTAACTATCTTTGAAAACTGAATTTGGTTCACCCACCCGTTTTCGGCGCTTTCATTGTTGAACTTGAGGAATATAATCCTGCGGAATAAATATAACACGATCTCGCGTGTAACGACACGAAAGTATTCGAAACAAGTAAATCTTGGAGGAGGCAAGAATACACTTTCATGCTTTTCGAGTGACGTGGAAGTACGGGGATTATCTGCAGGCGTCGGTATTATCTGTAGAAAGCAGCACGTCTGCTTTCTGTTGAACGACAATGATCTTGACAAAAGAACGTACCGAGGAAAGCTTTTAGCTTATATGCACTCGCTAGGACTCGAAGGGATCGTAATGTCGCTTGAATTATACGCCTTAAATGATAATAGGAACAACAGACAATATTTGCCTAGTTATTTTAGGATTATTGCCGTTGCTTCGTGCGAAAACGTGTTTCATCGCATTATTCTCTTCCTTTAAATCTTATAAAAAAAAAAAAATCTTTCTATCTGCTGTAAGACATTTTAATGTAAAAAATGTGTCCGCGCGCGTGTAATCCTTAAAATATAGATAGAATTGAATGAAGGATACGATTTTATTCTGTTCGCGCGCTCTTAAAGCACGATTCCTCAAAAGAAAATCCCTTTATCTTTAATCGCATGGCGTTTCATCCCTTGACGTCTTTATTAAGGAGAGGCCGCGGCTCCATATTTTCGCTTAGAAAATCCGCACGTAAAAAGTGACTATGCAGATCTTTTTCTTTCTTTCTCTCTCTCTCTCATTCTCTGGGATACCTCGTGTATACATTAATATATGGCTGCACCGGCTGAGCGTAGATATACGCGCACGCAGAGCGTACTCGCGTGTCTCTCCCCCTCGGCTTCGTGTCGCTTGAGAGGCATATCACACATTGAGAGGACGTGAGTCGCTTTGAAAAATCGTGCCCGATATGCCGGCGCGGAACGAAGAAAAAGGGACGGCACGTGAGCGCTTGAAGGAAGGAAGGTAATGCGCCCCGGGTTTTCTCGCGCGCGCACACACCGCGCCGATCGTCCCCCCACGATAGCGACGGCGCACCTGGGCTCGATCTCTCGAATATGCGGCATGTGCGGCGCGCCCGCCCGCATGTGTATGCGCCCGGCCGTTTCCCCGAAAATTTTACGCTGCCCCCCGGATAAGCGAAGATCGACGACGTAAGTGAAATTCTCGCTCTTTCCGCGTACCTCGGACGGAATCTCAAAATCTTCGACTCCGTCCAGCGACGGATCAAAGGGAGAGATCGCTTCGAAGAAAGAAGGGGCAGGACCCCTCGCGATCCCCCGCGACCCCTTTACGGATTTTACACGAGACGACGCTGATATCGATCCTCTTTTTTTTTTCTCTTTCACCGTGCACCTGCACGGGGGGAGGAGAGGGGAACGCGATTGGTTCCTCGTTCCTCGAAAATCTTACGTCGTTCGAATATGCAACGGATCGGAACGACGTAAATGAAATTCTCTCGCTTTCAGTCTGTGACTAAATCTCGGAATTTAGGAGAAATGAAGGAAAGGAGATTCTGTGCTTTGGCTTCAAAGGAAATTGCCGAAGCGCGAATACATATGTTATGTATTACATTATATATATATATATATATATATATATATATATATATACAGCGCATACAATGAAGAAATCAAGGTTCCCGCATCGGCTATCTATATAGGCTAAAATTTCACGTAATGTCTCGAGAATAAAGAAAGAGTATCTCGGAGTACAATAGCCGCAAAGCTGCCCGCAGATAATGATCGAAATTACAAACTAAAAACAAGTGCGTATACGCGCAAGGTGCGCTTTCGCACCATCGCAGCGTCGGATAACGGCGACGCTTTAATGAGCCCTCGGGGGACGCATTCGCGTGCTGCAGATGCACTCTTGGAAACACACCACGCCCAACGTGAGGCGAGCCAAAGGGAACCAATACCGAGGAAAAATTGTGTACAGAGCATACACCGATCGCTGCGTCCGTTTCGGCTCTCTTTGTGTATACGCGCGGCGTAATGAACCGTGGCAATTACCAAAATTACGCCGCCTTTTCGCTCGCGAGCACGCCAGAGGCGAAACGAAAGGCGATATTTACCCTTCCTGGAAGATGTATTCGAGACATTATTACCCTCGCACGCGGAGACATGATATACGTATCTGCGTACAGTGATATAAAAGAAATATTTACCATCAAAGGAATGGAGCTTTAGCGGAATTAAAAATCGAATAAAAAAAATACAGGCATGTGTAATCACGCACTCTCAAATATAATAATCTCAAGTAATTTCAATCAATATCAGCTGATACTTTAAGTGAGTCGTGAGAAAGGAATGTGTAATTTTCGAAGAAACCTCCATTTCCGTCCATTAGAATAAACTAATGCTATACTTCTAATATCGTATTTATTTAGAAATCGTGAAATAACAAATTGGACA